CAACCCCAAAATTCATATGGAACAATAAAAGACCCCAAATAGCAAAAACAATCCTTAGCATAAAACAACACTGCTGGAGGAATATCAATACCAAATTTCAAACTCTACTACAAAGCTTGGTAATCAAAACAGCTTGGTACTGGTACAAGAACAGACTTGAGGACCAATGGAATAGAGCTGAAGAACCAGAAATGAACCCACGGCCCTATAGTCACCTAATCTTCAATAAGGGAGCTAAAATTAGAAAAGAAGAAAGACAGCCCTTTCAGTAAAAGGTGCTGGCAAAACTGGTTAATCACCTGTAGAAAACTAAAGCTAGAGCCTTATATATCACCCTGCACCAGAATCAACTCCAAATGGATCAAAGACCTCAAAGTCAAAGCAGACACCCTGAAAACATTACAGGAAGGAATAGGAGAACCTCTAATGCTCCTTGGTATAGGCTGAAATATTCTCAGAAAGACCCAGAAACACAACATATCAAAGGTTGGACAAATGGGATTGCATGAAACTGCAGAGTTTCTGCATGGCAGAGGACATAGCTAGCAAGATCAATAGTAAGCCTATATACTGGGGGAAGATCTTCATTAGCCATAGAACGGACAAGTTCTATACTTAGAACTCAAAAAACTAAATCCCCCAACAACAAATCCCCAAAGAAACAACTGCCTGATAAATAAGTGGGCTAAATAATTAAAGAGAAACTTCTCTAAATTGGAAATAAGAATGGCCAATAGAGGGGCTGGGAAGGTGGCTCAGTGGTAGAGCGCTTGCCTTGCATGCCTGAGGCCCTGGGTTTGATTCCTCAGCACCACATAAGCAGAAAAGAAAAGCCGGAAGTGGGGCTGTGGCTCAAGTGGTAGAGCGCTAGCCTTGAGCTGAAGAGCTGAGGGACAGAGCTCAGGCCCAGAGTTCAGGCCCCACGACCGGACCCCCAAAAAAATAAAAAAAAAAAAAAGAATGGCCAATAGACACATGAAGAAATGCTCAACTTCTCTACCCATAAAAGAAATGCAAATCAAGACAACACTGAGATTCCACCTCACCCAAGTTAGAATGACTATAATAAAGAAATCTAATAACAACAGATGCTGGAGGGGATGTGGCCAAAAGGGAACCCTACTGCATTGTTGGTGGGAGTGTAAACTTGTTCTACCACTTTGGAAAGCAGTATGGAGGTTCCTCAAAAGACTCCACATAGAACTCCTCAATGATTCAGCAATCCCACTTTTGTACATTTTTCCCAAACGATCATAAACAAAGCTATATTAACGCTACTAAAGCTATACTAAAGCACAACTATGTTTATTGCAGCATTATTTACTATAGCTAAGATATGGAACCAACCCAGATGCCCTTCAGTAGATGAATGCATCAAGAAAATGTGTGTGTGTGTGTGTGTGTGTGTGTGTGTGTGTGTGTGTGTGTACAAACACACAATGGAATTCTATGCCTCCATCAGAAAGAATGGCATTGCCCCATTTGTTAGGAAATGGAAAGACTTGGAAAAAATTATATTAAGTGAAGTAAGCCAGGCCCAAAGAATCATAGGTCCCATGGTTTCCCTTATTTGCAATAACTAGTATAAGTCTAGGATAAGCAGAAAAGGTCAAAAGCTATGTACAGGGCTGGGAAGGTGGCTCAGTGGTAGAGCGCTTGCCTTGCATGCATGAAGCCATGGGTTCGATTCCTCAGCACCACATAGCAGGAAAAAAAGCCGGAAGTGGTGCTATGGCTCAAGTGGTAGTGCCCTAGCCTTGAGCTGAAGAGCTGAAGGACAGTGCCCAGGCCCAGAGTTCAGGCCCCACGACCGGACCCAAAAAAAAAAAGCTATGTACATGTACATATGACCATATAAGATGATGTTAAGTGAAATGAACCCCAAGATATGGACACAACTGGTTTTTTTTTTCTTTTTTGCTATTGTTTTAATGTATTTAATATGTACTATGTGATTTTTTCTGTTTCTTTTGTATGTTCCCCCTACCCCGCCCCAGTATACCCCCTGTTTTTTATTCAGGTGCCCTGCATTTTGTATATACATTTTTCTAATTTGGGGAGAAAAGGGAAATAACAATGCTTAAATAAGGATACAAGTTGGCCCATTGTAACAATGAGATGCACAAGGCACTATGTTGAAAATGAACTTTACAACTTGGGGGAGGAGAGGGAGGAGTAGGAGAGGTAGGGAGGGAAGGTATGGCAGGGGAAAAACAAAGGAGGAGGTAATAATGCTCAATAGGAAATATACTCATTACCTTACTCATATAACTCTAACCTCTCTGTACAGTGTTTTTACAATAAAATCATATAAAAGTGAAGTAAAATAAAAAGGAACATAGAGTTTCATAAGGAAAATGGCACAGTCAATCAGTTTATAAAGCAGGCTGAAGAACAAGATGCACATTAAATCACAGAGCTGCTGGGTATTTATTTTTCATGTACCATCTTTTTATTCTCATACAGTTTGCTATAAGCTGGCATTTGTAAAAAGCCTCAACAACAGTGGCATGGCAGAAAATATCTCACGTATGATTAGCCTAGTCTGTAGGTTTCCAGAAAGCAAGTGACAATGTCAGAAACAAAATAAAACCAAGTAAAACCACAAACTGAATGTGTTAGTTTAAGAAAGAAATGCAACCCCAATGGATCAAAAGGCACTGTGGAGGGGCTGGGAATGTGGCTTAGTGGTAGAGTGCTTGCCACGCATGCATGAAGCCCTGGGTTCTATTCCTCAGCACCACATACACAGAAAAAGCCAGAAATGGTGCTGTGGCTCAAGTGGTAGAACACTAGCTTTGAGCACAGAAAGGCTCAAGGACAGTGCCCAGGCCCTGAGTTCAAGCTCCAGGACCAGCAAAAAAAAAAAAAAAAGGCACTGTGAAAAAAACCAAAGATATATTTAAGCTGAATTTTTATTGTTGTTATTATTCCTATCATTATTATTACTAGTGCTTCTACAAGGAACTTACAGATGGAATAGTTACTCAGTTAGTTCAGTAATGAGATTTAGGGCCATAATTATCTTTAAGTAGGAGAAAGGAATTCTTGAGGAGCTTAATTACCAATCTAAAACTCCTGCTGGGATTGAGGAAGTTTGCATTCTAGCCCCATCTGGAGAGCTTGCCAGTGACTTGGAAAAGTTACTTTGTCTCCAACTTTCCCACTTGCTTAATCTCTCCTTACTTCTCAACTCCCAAATCAGCAAGTTGTTTGTTGACGGTTGTTTTTCTAATGATTAAAACAAATAGCTAGCAAATCTAGCATGTAGAATAAACAAAGAAAAGACTCAGTGTGACACTGAAGAAAGCCAGGAAGGAAGTGACATTTTGCCCTCTGCCTTCCACCTTGGGTATTAGAGTCTCGCAAAATATTATATTAAGTAAAGTAAGCCAGGCCCAAAGAAACATAGGTCCCATGGTTTCCCTTATTTGCAACATCTAGTACCTGTCTGAGTCAAGCAGAAAAGGTCAGATAAGTTGATGTTAGGGAAATGAACCCTAAGACATGTATTCAAATGTTTTTTTTTTTCTTTCATGCGATTGTTTCTAACACATTTATAAGATTATTTCTTTGTTGCTTTGTATGTCCCTCCCCCACAGTATAACCCCTGCTTTCACTGTATTTGATGTCGGTATAATTTGTGGAGGGGAAGGGAAAAACAAATAGCTTAACTAGGGATACAGGTGGATCCATTGCAACAATGAGATGTACAAGTCCTTATGTCGAAAAATGAACTTTACAACTTTGGTGAGGGGGGAGGGGGGCGGGAAGGATTGGGTGGGGGGGCAGGGAGAGGATGGGAAGGGATGGGAAGGGGAAACTAAGGAGGAAGCTACAATGCTTGATAAGAAATGTACTCATTATCTTGCCCATGTAATTGTAACCCCTCTGTACAGTATTTTCACAATAAAAAAAAAAAGAAAGAAATTGTCCAGGGACTGAAGGCCTGAGGCCAGAGGCCCGAGACAGGAGGCCAGGGACTGGAGCCTGTTTGCTGAGCCTGTGTTTGCACTTGAGGAGCTCATGTGGAAAGAAAGTGACAATTCTCATGAGAAGCTGGGCATTCATACTTACCATCCTATTTAAACTTTTCTTATCATAATGATCATTTTTCAGTACTACAGATGGGATTCAAGGACTCTCCTACATTTCCATCTTGAGCTATGTCACACAGACCTTCTGTTTTTGAGAGCCTTGCTATTTCTGTACAGGGAGACATCAAACTTGTGATTGTGCTCTCTCTGCCTGCTGAGTAACAGTAATAACAAGCATGAACATTTTTTTTCTTTTACACCTACTGGGGCATGAACTCAGGGGTTCATGCTTAGATTTGTCTGCTTGGTCTAACTGAAAGATTGAAGTCAGGACTATGTCCTCTTTTTGCAATTTACTAAGTTCTTTTTACAACTTACTAACTGCTGATTCTGCTTCTGTAAATATGCTTATGCTAGCACAGACCCTCCCGGGAAATAAGTAAAAAGTTACAAAGTCCAGATGCAGGCCCAGGGACAAGGTCTGCAAACATAGATAAAGAACAAAAGAGTATGTTCTCTTGAATTCCTGTGTAAAAACTCACGGCAAGGGGCTCAAGACAAGGACCATCTGGCGAGCCCAGCAAACTAGGTCAAATGTCAACCAATTGCGAGCTTGTAACTATGTGGACTCCCCTCCAGAGAAGCCTCCCCCTAGGGAACCAACCAGTTTTCAACAAGTGTTACAAAACTTCCCGCGCAGTAAAATGATTGCTGGAGTATATGATAATTTTTAAACTGAGCCAATCCTGGGGAGCTTGGGGTCTTATGCTAATCCTGTGGTTTTTGTCTTTAAAAGTGCCTGTAACCGCTGCTCAGGGCTTCCTGTCTGCCCTGGACAGAGAGCCTGTTTGCGCAAACGCCAAATAAACTCCTCTTGCTTGTTGCATCTGCTGGCTTGGAGTCTTGGTTCTTGGGGTGCCCTCCCATTGAAGAAAGCATCCCAGTGAGTCTGGGGTCTTTCAGTTGGGGGCTCGTCCGGGATCAGGCGCCTCCAGACCCAAAATTTCAAGACCAGTTGGAGGTAAGACAGAGCTCTATTTTTCCGTGTTCTCCGTGCTTGTCGTTTTTGTTTTATGTTTTGGGGATCCAAAAGTGCCTGTACAGGACTTGTATTTGAATTTGTATTGGGCCAGAGGGAAAAGCAGACGTGCCCACTACCCTGGTCCCGCCCTGGAGTCCCACTCCAGGGTCGTTTGGAGGGGGGACGAGATCCGAGTGTCTCTTTGTTCTGGGGAGCTAAGGCATGGCCGGCCTCTCCCTTCTGAAGTTTCCCTCCTCATTTGTACTCACTCGGGCACCGTGCGGCGTTTGTCTAGTCTCATCTGTGTCTATATAACGTTGATTGTCTTTGCTGTCTGTTTTGTGGCCTTCAAAGATATAGGACAACAACTAACCACCCCCTTAAGCCTGACTCTAGGTCACTGGAGAGAAGTCTCGGCCCGGGCCCACAACCTGTCGTTGGAGGTCCGGAAAAAGAAATGGATGACTTTCTGCTCCTCCGAATGGCCCGCCTTCAATGTAGGGTGGCCTAAGGAGGGCTCCTTTAATCTTGGTGTTATTTTACAGGTGAAGGCTCGAGTTTTCCAGCCCGGCCCTCACGGACACGCTGACAAGGTCCCCTACATAATTACTTGGGAAAATCTTGCTCAGGATCCCCCGAAGTGGATTAAGCCTTTTCTCTCCCCTTCCATCCCCCTCTCAGCCCCTCCACCCTCTCCCACTCCCCTCATCCCTCTTCCTCCTGCCCCCATCCAGCCCACCTTTCCTCCCCTGCCTGTCCCTCCACCACCTACTCCCCTCACTCCTCTTCCACCACCCTTATCCCAATCTTCCCTCTACCCCCTAAAGGAGTTGTCGAAACTTAAAATGAAGGACTCCTCCACCTCCTCTTCAAGTCCCCCCGTTCTGCCTGATAATCAGACAGACTTGTTATTGTTAGAGCCTCCCCAAATGCCAGACCCTCCGCCACCCTATCCTCAGCCTGCTCCAGTGGAGGAACGCAGAGGACCACAAGGGGGCTCCCTTACCCCACCTGTTCCTTCTCCCGATTCCACTGAGCCAGAGGCGGAGCCACAGGCGCCATTGGCACCCAGAGCACCCTCGCCACCGCCCAGCAGCTGCCTGCGCCTCCATCGCTATCGAGGCGGAGAGAGTGAAGGAGTCTGGACGGCTCATGCCTTCCCTCTCCGGACCGTGGGCGGCCAAGTGCAATACTGGCCTTTTTCTGCTTCAGACTTATATAATTGGAAAACCCATAACCTGCCCTTTTCCCAGGACCCCCTGGCCCTGACGGGCTTGATTGAGTCCATCTTGCTGACCCACCAGCCCACCTGGGATGACTGTCAGCAGCTCTTACAGGCCCTCCTTACTACAGAGGAACGCCAGCAAGTGTTCCTAGAGACTCGCAAGAATGTTCCAGGACAAGATGGCAGACCGACATAGTTGCCAAATGAGATCGATGAAGTGTTCCCGTTGACCCGCCCTAACTGGGACTTCAACACCGTTGCTGGTAGGGAGCGACTCTGTCTTTATCGCCAGGTTCTGTTGGCGGGTCTCAAAGGGGCAGGAAGACGCCCCACTAATTTGGCCAAGGTACATGCAATAGTGCAGGGTTCTGAGGAAACACCTGCGGGATTTTTAGAAAGATTAATGGAAGGATATCGTATGTATACGCCCTTTGACACCTCCGCCGTAGACAGACAATCCAACGTCATTATGTCCTTTATCGGGCAGTCAGCCCCGGACATTCAGACTAAGCTTCAGCGGCTGGAGGGACTTCAGGGGTATACTTTGCAAGATTTAGTCAAGGAGGCGGAGAAAATTTTTAATAAGAGAGAAACTCAGGAAGAAAGGGAAGAAAGATTGCGTAAGTTGCAGGAGGATAGAGAGAACAAGCGAGACAAGAAACGTACCAGAGTTAAGTAAGATCCTGGCCACCGTAGTCAGACAGCCAGGGGAGAGAGAGAGTAGGCCAGTGAGGAACCTGGGAGATGAAAAGAGACCACCGTTAAGCCGGGACCAGTGTGCGTATTGCAAAGAACTTGGACACTGGGCCAAGGACTGTCCCCAAAACAGGAGACAGGCCAGGGGATCCCGAAGACCAGCACAGGTGTTGTCACTAGAAGGTGACGACTAGGACAGTCAAGGCCTGGAGCCCCCCCCCCAGCCCCGGGTAACTCTAAGAGTGGGGGGGGGCAGCCCAGTAACCTTCTTGGTTGACACCAGTGCCCAACACTCGGTACTGACCCAACCAAAAGGTCCCCTAAGTCATAAAACGTCCTGGGTACAGGGAGCCACTGGAGGAAAACTATATCGGTGGACAACTGAGCGAAAAGTGCATCTCGGATCGGGGCTAGTCACTCACTCGTTCCTCTTGGTTCCAGACTGCCCCTACCCATTGTTGGGGAGGGACCTCCTCTCAAAGGTAGGGGCCCAGATTCACTTCCAAGAAAGGGGGGCCTCCGTTAGGGGACCCCAAGGACAACCGCTCCAAGTCCTGACTTTACGCCTAGAAGACAAGCATCGTTGGCATGAAAGCCCTCAGCCAGTCTCAATCGACCCCCAGTGGTTGTTAGATTTTTCCCAGGCTTGGGCGGAGACGGCGGGAATGGGATTGGCTACAAACCAGCCTCCTCTAGTCACTGAACTTAAGCCGTCGGCTGCCCCGGTGATGATACGTCAGTATCCACTAAGCAGGGAAGCTAAAAATGGAATTAGGCCACATATACAAAGGCTGCTACAATTGGGCATCCTAAAACCATGCCAATCCCCATGGAACACCCCCTTATTGCCCGTCAAAAAGCCCGGGACAGGAGATTACCACCCCGTGCAGGACTTGAGAGAAGTAAATCGGAGAGCAGAGGATATACATCCTACGGTGCCTAATCCTTACAACTTACTAAGTACGCTGCCCCCGAGCCATACATGGTATACATTATTGGATTTAAAAGATGCCTTCTTTTGCATGAGACTGAGCCCCCAAAGTCAGCCGATCTTTGCCTTTGAGTGGAGAGATCCCGAGTTGGGTTTCTCAGGACAGCTCACCTGGACAAGGTTGCCACAGGGATTCAAAAACTCCCCGACCCTGTTTGAGGAGGCTCTACATCAGGACCTGGCCGACTTCAGAGTCAATCATCCCCAATTCGCTCTTCTACAGTATGTAGATGACCTGCTCCTAGCAGCTGAGACTCTAGATGACTGTCTAAAAGGTACCGGGGCCCTTTTAAAGAGACTAGGGGAATTAGGGTATAGGGCCTCAGCCAAAAAGGCCCAAATTTGTGTCCAACAAGTAACCTATCTAGGCTATAAACTGGAAGGGGGGCAAAGGTGGCTAACAGAGAGCCACAAACAAGCCATCACCCAGATCCCACTGCCCACGAATGCACGAACCTTGAGGGAGTTCTTAGGGAGTGCTGGGTTCTGTCACTTGTGGATACCAGGGTTTGCTGAACTAGCAGCTCCTCTGTACCCTCTTACCAAGGCAAACACCCCGTTTCGATGGGAAGAAAAACAACAACATGCTTTTGATCAGATTAAAAAGGCCTTATTGACAGCTCCGGCCCTGGGCCTTCCGGATGTGACTAAGCCATTCACTCTATATGTGGATGAGCGACAAGGAATTGCTAAAGGAGTCCTGACCCAGAAGTTAGGGCCCTGGAAAAGACTGGTGGCCTATTTCTCAAAAAAACTGGACAGTGTGGCAGCTGGGTGGCCCCCGTGCCTCTGTATCATTGCAGCTGTGGCCGTTTTGGTAAAGGACTCTGATAAGCTAACCTTAGGACAGCCCTTGACGGTGATGGCCCCACATGCCATAGAGACAGTTATTCGCCAGCCCCCTGAACATTGGCTTTTGAATGCCCGGATCACCCATTACCAGACAATGCTGTTAAATCCTGACCGGATTCGATTTGGGGCCGCAGTCTCTCTCAACCCAGCAACCCTACTCCCGGACTGGGACTCTCACCTCGCCATCGAACATGACTGTCATCAAATCCTGGCGGAGGTGCACGGGACCCGTGAGGACTTGACTGATCAACCTCTACCAGATGCTGAACATACCTGGTATACAAATGGGAGCAGCTTCCTGCATAACGGTGAGCGAAGGGCAGGGGCAGCAGTGGTAGACGGGACCACAGTCATCTGGGCTTCAGCCCTAGAGCCTGGGACTTCAGCACAAAGGGCCGAACTCATCGCCCTGACGCAGGCGTTAACAAAGGCTCGAGGAAAGAAAATCAACATTTACACAGACAGCCGGTATGCCTTTGCAACCGCGCATGTCCATGGAGAGATCTATAGGAGGCGAGGTCTGCTGACTTCGGCAGGAAAAGACATTAAGTACAAAGAGGAAATCCTAGACCTCTTACAAGCCCTTTTCCTACCTAAAAATGTGAGCATCATCCACTGCCCAGGTCACCAAGTGGGGAGGGACCCTGTAGCAGCAGGAAACAGGATGGCAGATGAGGCTGCTAAGGCAGCGGCCTTACAAAACCAAAACTTTGCTTTAGTCACTTCCCAAGAACAGCAGCCAAGCAAACCACCTCTCTTCCAGTATTCAGATCAAGATATAGAGGTGGCCAAGAAGCTAAAGGCAACCTTTAATAACTCAACTGGAACTTGGGAATATGAAAACAGGACTATATTGCCCTGAAAGGATGCGAGAAGGTTGGTTACCTACTTGCATAGATGGACCCACTTGGGTTACAAAAAATTGGAGACTCTTCTACAGAGGGAAGAGCAGTTTCATTACATTCCAGACCTATCGGGCATAATCAAACAGGTCATAGACTCTTGTGTTCCCTCCGCCAAGGTTAATGCAGGCCGATTCCAAGCGCCTGCTGGAGTCAGAATGAGAGGAGAGTGACCTGGCACTAACTGGGAGATCGATTTCACCGAAATTAAGCCTGGCAAGTATGGAGTTAAGTACCTCCTAGTCTTTGTGGATACCTTCTCCGGCTGGACAGAAGCTTTCCCCACTAAACAAGAGACTGCACAAGTGGTAGTTAAAAAGATTTTGGAAGAGATTTTTCCTCGATTTGGACTCCCTAAGGTAATAGGGTCAGATAATGGCCCTGCTTTTGTCTCCCAGGTAAGTCAGATGGTGGCCAAGCTGTTGGGGATAGATTGGAAATTACATTGTGCTTATCGCCCCCAGAGTTCAGGACAGGTAGAACGAATGAATAAAACAATTAAAGAGACCTTAACCAAATTAGCCTTAGAAACTGGCACTAAAGACTGGGTCCAACTCCTTCCCATGGCCCTGTTTAGAGCCTGGAATACTCCGGCAAGCCATGGATTAACCCCCTATGAAATCTTGTATGGAGGACCTCCTCCTATAGCAGATTTTCTTGACCCTGCCATTGATTCTTTTGCAAATACCCAAAGCCTACAGGCACGGCTGAGAGCTCTGCAACTCATCCAGAGACAAGTGTGGAAGCCGTTGGCCGCCGTCTACAGCTTGGGGAGCTCCGCAGTCCTACATCCCTTCCAGATTGGCGACGAGGTGTACGTGAGGAGGCACCAGTCCAAGACCCTCGAGCCACGGTGGAAGGGCCCATACATCGTGCTGCTGACCACACCCACTGCGCTAAAGGTAGATGGGATCGCCGCCTGGATCCACGCCTCCCATGTCAAGCGAGCACCGCCTGGAGACAAGAAGGACCCCTCGGAGCCAGCGAGATGGAAGGCGCAGCGCACTCAAAACCCCCTCAAGATAAGACTTTTAAAAACTGTTTAATATTCCTTATTACTATAATCCTAAAGACAGGAAGGGGACAAAGAGCCCACCCCCTGGTGGGCACGAACCCACACTCCCCCTATAACCAGACATGGCAAGTGATAGATGAACAAGGGAGTGTCATATGGGCGGCCTCTAACATAGCCCCCCTCTGGACATGGTGGCCCGACCTCGCACCGACCTTCTGCACATCCCTCACTAATGAGGTAGATGCTACAAGTGGAAAAGGTGTCGACCAAGGCTACCCTGTCTATGCTTGCCCAGGCGGGATCTCTCTCTCTCTCTCTCTCTCTCTCTCTCTCTCTCTCTCTCTCTCTCTCTCTCGCATCCAGATGCGGAGAGAAAAAGATTATTTTTGTAAAGCCTGGGGGTGTGAAACCAGCGGGGACACCTACTGGAACCCATCCTCCTCTTGGGACTATATCACCATAAAAAGGGCCGGTGCGACGACGAAAGGTTACAAGCATCCTAAATTGGGTATTTGGGTTGGCCCTGCACGTGATGTAGGGAATGGAAAGTGTGCTAACTCAAAATGCAATCGGTGGTGCGTAAAGCTTACTGTAAAATTCACCACCAAGGGGCAAAGGTCTAACTTGGGCTGGGTAACGGGGTTCACCTGGGGAGTCAGGTTACGCACTAACTATTGGGGTCACGATGATGGTGGACTAATAATGATCCGCCTCCAAGTGCAGAGTGCAGCTCCCAGCCTCCTAGGACCCAACCCTACCTTAAGAAAGAGACCCCTTTACATAAACCGGACGCCTGACCTCACCCATCCACCAGCCACCCCTGACCCAGGGCTGCCCCAAATGCCTCCCTTATACAATCTAGTAGAGGGAGCTTATTTGGCCCTCAATTCCACCAAAAGCAACCTAACTCGGTCCTGTTGGCTCTGCCTTTCTGAGGCGCCTCCTTATTATGAAGGGACAGCTTACAATGGTACTTACAACTATTCTGACTCATGCCCTTGGGGACGCCAGGGCACCAGGTTAACTCTAGCTGAAGTGTCAGGCCAAGGACTATGTCTCGGCACCCCCCCCCCCCAAGAAGATCCAGCTCTGTGCTCGCACAGAGAGAGTTCGAGCCTCCGCCGGCAAATACCTGATACACTCGGATGGAGGATGGTGGGCATGTGACACTGGATTAGCCCCTTGCGTCTCAGCGATGCTGATGAACCAGACTGGTTTCTGTGTTCTAGTACACCTCTACCCCCGGGTTATATACCATGACTCCCGATCCTTCGAAGAATTGGCGGAAGGCCTGGCCCCCCGCAGATACAAAAGAGAACCCATCAGTGTAACATTAGCTGTCCTCTTGGGATTCGGGACCACCGCAGATATTGCGGGAGTAGGAGTAGGAGGGGCCGCATATGTGGAAGGTCAACAAAGCCTAAGACAACTAAAAGCTGCCGTGAACCAGGACTTAAAAGCTATACAAAAATCAGTCACAGCATTAACAGACTCCCTCACCTCCCTATCAGAGGTAGTACTTCAGAACCGTAGAGGTTTAGACTTAGTCTTTATCAAGGATGGTGGGTTGTGCGCAGCCCTAAAAGAAGAATGTTGTTTTTATGCTGATCATACTGGGATAGCGCGTGACTCCATGGCCAAACTCCGAGAGCATTGAGAAGCTTGCAATTGGGACAAGATTGAGCAAGGTAGCTGGTCTGAGAGTTGGTGGTCTAAATCCCCCTAGCTCACTACATTGCTGTCGGTGGTAGCAGGACCTGTCATTATCTTACTATTGCTTCTCACCTTTGGTCCTTGCATTCTTAACAAGCTATTGCAGTTTATTTGTGAAAGGCTGTCCGTCATACAGGCCACGGTATTAGCCCAACAATACCAAGTATTACAGACAAGTGACACACCTACAAATGAGATAAGAACCCCCTAGATTTTAAGATTAAAATCAGTCCAAAGACAAGAGGAGGGAATGAAAGATTGAAGTCAGGACTATGTCCTCTTTTTGCAATTTACTAAGTTCTTTTTACAACTTACTAACTGCTGATTCTGCTTCTGTAAATATGCTTATGCTAGCACAGACCCTCCCGGGAAATAAGTAAAAAGTTACAAAGTCCAGATGCAGGCCCAGGGACAAGGTCTGCAAACATAGATAAAGAACAAAAGAGTATGTTCTCTTGAATTCCTGTGTAAAAACTCACGGCAAGGGGCTCAAGACAAGGACCATCTGGCGAGCCCAGCAAACTAGGTCAAATGTCAACCAATCGCGAGCCTGTAACTATGTGGACTCCCCTCCAGAGAAGCCTCCCCCTAGGGAACCAACCAGTTTTCAACAAGTGTTACAAAACTTCCCGCGCAGTAAAATGATTGCTGGAGTATATGATAATTTTTAAACTGAGCCAATCCTGGGGAGCTTGGGGTCTTATGCTAATCCTGTGGTTTTTGTCTTTAAAAGTGCCTGTAACCGCTGCTCAGGGCTTCCAGTCTGCCTTGGACAGGGAGCCCGTTTGCACAAATGCCAAATAAACTCCTCTTGCTTGTTGCATCTGCTGGCTTGGAGTCTTGGTTGGGGTGCCCTCCCATTGAAGAAAGCATCCCAGTGAGTCTGGGGTCTTTCACTAACCCTGAACTATGATCCTTTGAATCATGAGCCTTTCTGGCTCACAGCTGACATTCTACCACTTGAGCCAGGCTTTCAGCCCAGTGTTTTGCTGGTTAACTGGAAATCAAATATGGAGAACTTTTCTGTCCAGGTTGATTTTGAACCTCAGTCCTCCAGGTCTCAACTTCCTAATAGGATTACAGGTGTGAGTTGACAGTGTGCTTGGCTAAATTTTTTTTGAAGTTCCAAGGCTTGAACTCAGGGCCTAGACATGGTCCATGAGCTTATTTTGCTCAAAGGCTAGTACTTTACCACTGGAACCATAGCTCTACTTCTGGCTTTTTTCGTAGTATAGTGGAGATAAGAGTCTCAAAGACTTTCCTGCCCTGCTGGCTTTGTATTGCAATCCTCAGATCTCAGCCTCCTGAGTAGTGAGGATCACAGACATGAGTCACTGGCACCTGGCTGTAAACATGTTTTTTTTTTTTTTTTAAGAAGTCTGTATCCTCTTGATTTCTGGGTCCTAGGTCTCCAAGCCAGGTCATCACTACCTTTGAAAGGAACCATTTTTCAGACACAGAATGATGGGGTTTTTTTGTTGTTGTTGGGTTTTTTTTTTTTTTTTTGCCATTTTAAGTAGTGTCGCATAGAATTTACCCCCTCAGATAAGAGCAACAGACCCCTGGGAACTCAAAGAGGTAGAGACACAGACACACTGAGCAATATTCTCCTGTCATGGAGCAAGGCAGATGGCTGCCACAGCTGTTCCCTGTCCAAGTCAGAAACTCTCCTCCATCTCCCTAAGATCAAGGGGCTTTGGTGACATTGTTCTGGGACCACCTTTCACCCTATTGCATGTGTCTAATTAGGACAAGAAGGAAGGAAGGGGAAAAAATGACACTTTGCAGCTGGGGGAAGGGAAGGAGAAATGAGAGAAGGGTTAATTTCCTCCCAGCTGTCAGACCTGTAATTATATTCAGTTTGTGGATTCCAGCCTTCCTTTGATGATCTGAAATAAATCTCCACATACAGCCAAACTTCTGCTGCATGCTGCTTTTGTATTGAAAGTGAAGTGGCCTCAAGAGCCTGGGCTAAGCAGCATGTTCTTGGCTAGGGGCCAACTGTAACTAAGTTTCTCATTGTTGAGTTAGATGACTTGCCTTCACTGTTCTAAAAGAAAGGTTGAACGGGACTGTCCAATGGGGCCACTAGAGTGATCTCAGCCTACACTGCAGGAATCAGAACCAGGTTAAGTCCAGTGAACCCATGGAGCCATGAGAAATAGTTGTTGTTGCTTTAAGAGGTTAAGTGCTGAGATAGTGCATTGCAAAATAGGCAAGGATAGCCACTCAGGCCATGCATGCTCACCCACTTCTCCAGGCTACTTGCATAAGGTGGCAGACACACACATGACTCAAGGTTACATGGAAATGCTGAAACAGCTGAATCCCAGTGTGGGGGAAGTGTAGGCCCCAAAGCCCTCCAGAAGCTGTGGTGAGACAGCCTGGCTTACTCCACTTACTCTATAGGTGGCCAGAAACATCTAATAATCATAGAGAGCAAACTAAGTATTGCTAACCCTGCACTGTCCACACAAGGACCTGACACTCCTATGAATAAGAACGTATTTCAGCTTTTCTTTCCTGTTCTGTGCTATCTGTTCTCTCAGCTTCTCTGCATACCTCTACCAGTCTCTTCGTAAATACATGTGTATGTGCACAAACCTGGAAGTGAGCATCTCTTGAGGTGGGAGAGGCAGCATGCTGTAGAGTTCTAAGTGTCACATTCCACAGCCCAACCTGTGTGTGTGTGTGTGTGTCATACTAAAAGTCAGTATCAAGTCTCCACAGGGCCAAATGAGTAACGTAAGTGGGTTCACTACCTGCACCTGTGTTCTTCTGCAGCTGATTTGTAATAGCTGAATGTTGGGATGTTACTTGTTAAGAGCGATGATGTCATCACTCTGCTCAAGACTCACTAGTGTTTTAATTTATTGTGAGTAATGCCCTCAGGATAGAAGTCCCTTGCAGCAACTATGGTTGTCCTGTTACTATGCTTTCAGGCCTCACCTAGCTCATTTCTAACCAATGGAATTATCTTTCTACTTACAAACTTTCCTACCTATCTGCACCAGATAGAATGTGGCCTTAATGAAGAGAGTTGCTGTGGCTTTACCTGTCATGTTTATCATCTTGAGCAGGTTGCTCTGTACTAGGTAGAATAAATTAATTAAACATTGCTTCTTTCAAATTTCAATTTCCAAAAACTTATTAGCTTATTGAAAGTTTATAAAACTCTTCAAACAAACTGAATCTTCCAGGAATCTTCCAGGTATTCTGTTCCAGCTAAATATGTACTCACAGTTCTTATATCTGCTAATTCCTATTTATAATGGGCATTTAAGAACCCCTCTCCCTTCTTGATAACTTCTAAATTTTCTTTTTTTTTTTTTTTGG